AACCAGTCCAGCATCCCAGGCCGGTAGGCAGGCTGGTATGAAAGGGGTTTTTGCAAAAGGGCGAGCTTACCGGGGGCCCTTTTCAAACCGGGTCTAAATGGTCGCCCGCCCTTAGTAGAATGGTATAAAGAAACAGCGCAACCAAACAAATTTGGGACCGCTTCATAAGTATCCACTCCCTTTGCATTGTTTTTGGCAGTGGATATTTCACTGTGGATTAGTACCGATTTGCTTCTGCTTTTTTTGCTCCGACGGCAACTGAACATGCCCAGTGTGTGTTTTGGAAGACTTAAATGCTCTCCAGCAAGTTCTGCAACAAACTTTCATCTGGTTTTACACGTCATGGAATTTGGAGCTAGCGCAATCTCAATCTTTCTTTCCTTTGAAAAATCCTCCAGAAACACTAAAATCACTTATACAAAATGAAAAAAAAATTGCACCTTTTAACTTGAAAAATTCAATTTAAAACATTATAGGAAGATACTGGGACTTTTTGGCTGGGGAAAAATTTCAATTTGTCAGCGTAGTCCCACCAAAAATCAATTCTGCAACTGTGTGCTGTCAAACTCAAGCCAACTGGATAACCACTAGGGCCTTGCCATGCACTCACTCAATTTCTATAAGGGATTGAGCAATTTAAATGTTATCATCTGGTTTTAATGTGTGACCTGATGTCAGAAAACTTCATATCCATAACCCATGAATTATCCCCAAATTACACAATAAATACTACGTAGGCCTACTTTGATGCAAACATATGATCAAAATTCATTAACCTAAGAATTCAATATACGAACATCACTAATTTCCCTTGCAGTAGATTATTTGTCATCAGAGAATAACATTTTCTAAAAAGTCCAATTTAGCACTGCAAATGTTGAATCATTTACTTAGTAAACAGAATTTTGCAGACCAGTCTTGTGTGCTTTGAACACAGGGTGTCAAATGAGTCCAGATATGGAACTCTTTCCTTCATTAATGAACATGTGAAAACTGGCAATCCGTACTTCAAGCACAAGGACACCACCACTAACCGACTACTAACTATGGGGCAGCGCGGACATCTGGTAGTTTCACAGAATTGTGAGTAGCAACCACAGCGTGCCAATGAAAACAACTGCAACGTGCACGTGTGTACATGGCTTTTGCATGCATGTCGCCATGGCCGCTGTTTTCACCGGCGCGATACCTGCCATTTTGCGAGAATCCCGGATGTCCACGCTGCCCCACAATTGTTTCACTCAACATGCAGATTTTTATTAACGAGGCCAAATTCCTACAAAAAAGCCTAACATGCATAAGGTCATGCAGTCATGAAGATGTGTATCAGTCCAAAATTACTTCCAGACATGTCTGCAGCCCCTCAGGCATGTCGGGTAGCTTTATTTACAAGTAGGCCTAGGCCTAACTAACTGTTAAAACATGCCCATGTTACAGAGCAGCGCCAGGGTCCAAAATTTAATAAAAGTAGGCCTAGGGCCTATTGCTCGAAACCAATCTGCAAATGCCATGGGATTGATGGAACCATAATGAAGGTAGATCGAACTCTGGCGGAAATATACGAATTAGGCCCAAGGTCCACACTAAGAAAATGAGCACGTTCATCGCCATTTGCGCTGTTGTATAAACCTACCCAGTTTTATATCCTGAAACCGTCTCTGATTCTGTTGACGAAGTTTCTGTGGTTGTCACGAAGAGTAGTTTTTTCGAAGCGGTTTTTCCTTGAAATTACAGTTTTTACGATGATGTTATTACCACGAGTCACCACCAACGTTCGCCATACGTAAAAATAAAAATTGAACTAATGATACCTGTTGGTATTCCTGCATGCAAAGCACATTATGTTAACTGAAAAACAAATTCGGTACGGCTGTGCACCATTGAAATCGGTATTAAATTCACTGGTTCCCAATAGGACGTAAATATTAATGCGGTAAACAGATGACACCTGGTAGGATGTAAACACGGATACCAATAATTGTAGGTAAATTCCATACAGCTGGGGCTGGGTAGGATATTTTGGCTAGAGAAATCATGTTTGCAGTTCCATAGCTTGAATGAAAAATACGGAGCCATGCAGGCGGAAGATGCAAGATACCTGAAAAGGTTTGTGGCAGATGTTGCCTAGTTAACGTTTGATTTGAGTACCAGTTTTCAACTTGTTTGTGACTGGGATGTTTAAGTTTAACCGTGTTGTTAACGGCCGATCATGTCTAGGTACTTGGCCTAAAAGGCCTATCGTGCCTTTACTCATGCCCTGTAGAGGGCGCTTTACATCTTTTCTTTTTAATTTCTTTTTTTAGAATGTAAGTTTTGGATACTAGGATGCTAGGTAATTATTATAATGTAGGTATAATATAGCCCAAACTTATAAGCCATTACATTTGCGTAAGTGGAATGAGACAGCCTGAGGAATATTTGCCCCCCCCTCCATGAAGCAACACATCCCCGCCCCTTGGCCAACCCTTTGATTGACAACTAAAGATGTTACAAAGGTTTCACTTAAAATGGAAAAATGCCAAAAATATAAACACTTCTGAGGCTTGAAAAGCGTGACCAACCTCTCCCACCCGATTTGAATAACTTTTTCAAGGCCAGAGGGTGGAGAAGTTGGTCTTTTGTCTGATCATACTGATGACCATGTTGGAAATTATGCAACTTGGTGACAGTTGGCATTACTCGTCATTGGGTTGGATATCGCGAAAGAATGAAAGGGAATATATATGCCCCTCTGAGTCTTGAAGGGACCACTGTTCTTGGTGAGACACAGACAGGAGCTATGTTTAAGAACACAATGTATTTCCACATGATTAATGACTAAGATATAGGGCCTATGCATAATTTATCTTACATCTGAAACCCTGAGTTTTAATAGTTTTAATCAAACTCCTTATAAATAATCTTTTCTTGTTTTAGGTGGCACTTTATTGTTGATATGTTTGTCTTTGTAGGAAAGTGAAAGGAGGAAGCATAGATGTCCACCCTACGGAGAAAGCGTTGGTGGTCAACTATGAACTGGAGGCCACCATCTTGGGGGAGATGGGTGACCCCATGTTGGGAGAGAGGAAAGAATGCCAAAAAATGTGAGTTGTGCCAATGCCACCTCAGGCTGCATCTAAATCTCTTGTCTAGAGCTAGGTCTAGGTCTTCCCTCCATTGGAAATGTGCAGAGATGTGTCGACGATAGACCTAGCCATAGCTCTGGAAGCCCGTTTTGGACACGGCCTCAGTTTCAATCCAGTGGGGTGGCTGAATGTCTGTGGGACACCTTGGTTTGGGTGCACGGCGAGTTTGAATACTTGCATGCGGTTTTATAGATATATTGTAGTGGTCAGTTTGCAGACTTTTTTTCAGTGCACCACAGGTTTTTTTTAATGATTCATCTTTCCCCAGTAATAAAACACAAGTTCAAGTTAAATGAATGAAATAATCAAAACTGGAATTAGGAAATGTGTTCATGTTGTTGTTTCAAACAATATCTCTCATTGTTTCAAAGCAACATACAATTTACAAACTGAAATTTGACGTTTTCCTTCCAACACTGGAGCTCTTTTAATTTGGGAATTTACTGATTTTCAGTTTGAATATCAAAACAGAAAAGAGGTATCCTTTGTACTGATGTACTGTCTGACAAACTTTTCTGTATGACTTAGCTCTTTCCCAGAGCAGCAATTAGATGATGATTCTGCATTCCTTTCACAGAATCCGGGTTCGAAGTCTGAATTCTGCCACGGACATCGCCGCCCTGGCCAGAGAGGTAGTGGACAAATGCAAACTGATCCATCCTTCCAAACTGCCGGAGGTTGAACAGCTGTTGTACTACCTACAGAACCGAAAAGAATCAGCATCTTCAGGTATGTCATTGCAGCTGAAGACAGTACAGTTACAGTCAGTGGCAGTCCGTTGGTCTGTGGTGCACTTTATATCCTGATTTTGTGCTTCCTAAAAGGTACTGGTGGGAGATGCGTCGTAGACATGCATTGAATTACTTATTTCTTTTCCTCTTGATTTTTGTAGAATATTGCTGAGTAAATGTGTTTTTTGTGTTCTTTTCCACTTGATTAGCTGGTTCCAAGAAAGGAGTGATGACTGGAAGATTGAAAGACCCTCCACCCTATGAGGGGACAGAGGTTTGTGACTCCAATTTCTTTCAGCTGGGTTTTTAGAATTTTTTTTTTAGAATTTTAGAGACAACAACAATTGGTGTTATTAAGAATTATCACTTCCTCCTCAAGGAGATTGATTGTCAAATGACATCAGCCGCAAAACCTTGCTGTAATTTCCACAGTGAAAAGCTGCGAAAGATTTTCTTGGTACAGACTTTTGGGTTGTGATGGAAAATTACTTGAAGCTGAAGAGAACCACCAGAAGAGCCCGAACTTACCCTAGAGCCTATGGCAGAAGGTAAGCTGATGGTCTGCAAGTCAGTCATTTTTGTGTCTTTCCAAATCGTGTCATCTTTACAGCTGGATGAGCAAGCCAACATCAACGATGTGGAGGATTATATCGAGCTGCTGTATGAGGACATTCCAGAGAAGGTTCGAGGCACAGCACTCCTGCTACAACTGGCTCGGAATCCTGACAACCTGGAAGAAATCTTGCAGAATGGTAAGCCCGGAACCAGTCCAGATGGATACAGAGTTTCAGATGAAAAAAGAGGTTGGAAGATACAAGTTGTTAGAAATCTTTTGAAGACTTTGCAGTTTTGCAACCTCTGAACCTTTCTGTCCTCGTTCCAGACACGGTTCTCGGGGCGCTTGCTCGCGTCCTTCGTGAGGACTGGAAGCGTAGCGTGGAGCTGGCCACCAACATCGTCTACGTCTTCTTCTGCTTCTCCAGTTTCTCTCAGTTTCACAGTGTCATCGCCCACTTTAAGATCGGTGCACTAGTTATGTCCATCGTTGAACATGAGATCAAGAGACACGACCTGTGGTTGGACGAACTTCAGAAAAAGAGGAAGGCAGATATCCTTTTAAGTTCAATTTATAACCTTCGCACCTGTTACTCTTGATACTTGGGGGTTGGGTTTTTTCATATGAGCGCATGTTGCAAATTTTCTTAACTATGCTTCACCTGAGGAGACTCCGCAAGCCAAGAAGGATTACGAGAAGAACATGAAGAAGTACCATGGACTCCTTAAGAAACAGGAGCAACTCCTGCGAGGTGAGGAAAATCAACACCGTGTATATTGGGATGTTAAACAGGTTACCTTAAAATCAGTTCAAGTTGGGGAAGAGATCGTGGTGAAGATATCTGTTTATGTATGACTGTTCCAGTCCATTTCTATTTCAAACAGTTTCAAATTTAATACCGGAACAGTTCGTTTTCGTTTTTTAACCCCTTCACGGCGGGATTATTTTGACCGCGACTGCTGGGCTGTGGTATGCCCTGAATGGAGGGCTTTGTCCAGCAGCAGGCCCCATTGAACCAGCACCTGCGTGGTGAATAGACTGTATGTGTGGTATGTACTAATCCTCACACAATGCTGCGGTAGTAGCAGTCCTCCGCAGCGAAGGGGTTGAACAAAGTAACAAACTAGTTTTATCTAGCAGATTATCAGAGGATTTCTGTGGTACACTTCCAAGAATTTTTGTTAATTGAAAAAAGCACGAATCCAGATTTTTATTATCCTTTTTACCTATCTGTCGCTCTGTTCCCTCAGTCTCATACTACTTGCTTTTAAACCTGGCTGAGGACACCAAAGTGGAGATGAAGATGAGGAACAAGAACATTGTCCCTCTGCTCATCAAGACGTTAGACAGAGATAACTACGAGCTGCTCATCCTGGTTGTGTCCTTCCTCAAGAAGCTCAGCATTGTCTCGGAGAACAAGGCTGAGATGGTAAGATGGAGACTTTGGGAGTTTGCTGTATGAAAATTCAATTGGATGCAATTTAATCTTTGCTGAAATATCGCAGGCAGTGGTGGTAAAATCCTCGTGTATTTTTTTTATCTTCATGTTCAGGCACAGCGTCAAATTATCGAGAAATTGACGAAGTTGATTCCATGTGATCATGAGGTGAGTCATCCGTGCAGTTGTTGACAATCATGTTGAACATTCTTGACTGTTCCTTCAAAATTTTGCATCCGTCTAGAAATAATGAGGTTTCTGTCTCACAGTCACATGCCCCATTGTCCATTTTTTCTGTGAGCCTCTCTTTCCATCATAACGTTCTTCGTCCCATTTGAGGCTGGATGACTTGCGAGGCAAAGTCTTCCACTCCAGCAGAGTTTGTGATCTGCAGATTTCTGAGAATTAAATGTCTGTGACATATTTTCTGTTGCCAGGATTTACTGAATATCAGCCTTCGTCTGCTGTTGAATCTCTCCTTTGACACAGACCTCAGAGGAAAGATGATCAAACTTGGCCTGTTGCCAAAACTTGTCGGCCTACTAGGTGGGTGTGTCATCTGGGTAATTTCTTGTTTCTCCAATTCGTCTTCCATCGGTAAATATTCTTTTCTGTATTATTCCACCATTTTATTCACTGTGTTGTTTATTTCTTTCTAGGCAATGATAACCATCGTGTGATTGTTCTCTGCATTCTGTACCACATCAGCATGGACGACAAAGCTAAATCCATGTTCACTTACACCGACTGCATACCAATGGTAAATCTTTCCCTCTCAAAGATTCTGTGTAAATATTCTTGCCACAAGGTGAGTTTTAGTTAATGAGTATCGGAGCATGGATGCTGTAATGAAACTTTTAATTTCTTTCACATCATGCCAAAAAACCTGGGAATTAGCCGTAATTATAAGATGAGTACAGTTTCATTGTGGTTAAATTACACAAACCATACAAAACTGACAACACGCTGTTCAGTTTAGTGTTCATTTTATCACACAAATGTTCATACTTTAAAGCTTTAAAAACTTTGGTGTGGAGTATTTTATAGACACTCTCAAAAGTCACTTGCACCTGCTTCTTATGTAGCACTGCCATAGTCATTTGTGGCCATACATCCAATGACCACTTGAACAAGTTTTTGAATGCCTGGTTTTCTTTGGCTGGTCAGGTCATGAAGATGATTTTGGAGAGTCCTGGCGAACGTATTGAGTTGGAGCTTGTCTCTCTAGGCATTAACCTGGCTTGTAACAAACGCAACGCCCAGCTCATCTGTGAGGGGAACGGCCTGCGACTTCTCATGCGCAGGGCGTTACGATTCAAAGACGGGCTCCTGCTGAAGATGATACGGAATATCTCTCAGCACGATGGCCAAACCAAGGAACAGTTCATCGTAAGTACAGCCATTCAAGAAATGTTGTTTTCTCAAGGAGGAAGTCTTTTGATTTATGCCACAAATTGAGACTTTTTGCAAATAACCTTTTTATGTCATCTGTTAGGAGTACATCAGTGATATTGCCAGCATAGTGAAGAATTCTGACGATGAGGAACTGGTTGTGGAAGCATTAGGCATCCTGGCCAACTTGACCATACCAGACCTAGACTATGAGCTGATCCTCAAGGAGTACAAACTGGTGCCTTGGATCACTCAGAAACTAGAACCACGTGAGTAGAAACACCTGTTAAAAAAGTGTAAGGTAAAAGAACTGCTCAACACGGCTTGCTGACTACTTGAAATGTACAAAAATTAGAGAGCCTGACGTCAAAGAACTGCTAGACACGGCTTGCTGACTACTTGAAATGTACAAAAATTAGAGAGCCTGATGTTTTGTCCTGGCAGACTCTTTCTCAAAAGCAAAATGACAGTAGACAGACAGACAAGCATTCAAGAAATCAACAAGGCATCAATAAATGCAGAAGGGCAAAGTGAGACAATAAATCAGTTTGTGAATTTCTACTTAATGGGTTATTGAGGTGCTTAGCAAAAGCTGCAGATTCATGCTGAGATCTAGACACTTTTTTCCCCAGAGCAAAGCTATTTGAAACTGTTGAACAAACATTGGTCTCTTTTGTTGAGCATCCGTTCTTGTTGGTAGTTGTGACAAACCTAACACAGGATATCATCTCCATGGTTACAGGTGCAGCGGAGGATGATCTGGTGTTGGAGGTGGTCATGTTGGTCGGGACCGTTGCCATGGACGACTCGTGCGCTGCCATGTTGGCCAAATCAGGAATCATTCAGAGCTTGATCGAGTTGCTAAACGGTGAGGAATTTGCAGTGTCGCCAACCTTGATGTGATCTTTGTGGTGAACAGAAAGCTGTACAGTTCTTAATTGTTCGACACTCTTTCCCTGCAGCTAAGCAAGAGGACGATGAGATCGTGTGCCAGATTGTCTACGTCTTCTACCAGATGGTATTCCACGAAGCAACTCGAGAAGTTATCATCAAACAAACACGTATCCCTTTTACGTCACAATTCCAGGCCTACAATGCATTCAGTTTGTGTTCCCATGTTTGAAAAGCAAACTTAATAGAGCTGCAGGTGAAAGCTTGGAGCATTTCCCCTTAACATGGATACTCAGAGGCTCCTGCTTACCTGATTGACTTGATGCATGACAAGAACGCGGAAATACGCAAAGTGTGTGACAATACCTTGGATATCATCTCAGTGAGTATTGCCTTCGGCAACTTGCACTAATGTGGTTATTAACCCATTCTCGGCGGGATTTTCTTTCCGAAAGCCAACTCCATGAATTCCAGCCTCACTTGGCCACGAAGGCCACCTGCCAAACCGCAAATTCTCGGTTTGTGGCCCTGCGTGCTCTGCACACTTTGAATTACACGGTGAAAAGGCTGATTGTTCGGTGGCATGTGGCTCTACTCACCCTTCCACATTACCGTTGCCTC